ATTAATGTCAAACGCTCTGTACTATAGCCAAAAGGTAGTAGTGATACATATCCTATCCATATAGAATAGAGAACATATAGGTTCTCCCTGTACGTTCTTTATTTAGTTGAAAAAATTATGTACAGTGTAACCTAAAGCATACTATTAACAATTGAAATGGCCAGAATGATAGACTCATGTTAGGAGTGTGACCAGGGAGAGAGCCATTCAGGAACATGTTAAGGGACTTCATAAACTACTGACAACCCTTTATAGGAGTAATTTAAACACAGAACGTGCATTTATTATAGCTAAAGCTATATGACTTTGAGAATTTTTGCTGTAAATCTCCATTATATATGATCTATTATAACACTCTAAGAAAAGAGGGACAGGACGGCTTTGGCCAGAGGTACATTTTTTTAGGTGTGATCGAAAGCTTTCAGAGTCAACTCTGATTAAAGATCCTGGTTCCTTCATATCCATCTAAATAATGCGACAATAAACGCTACATGTAAGAAATACTAGCGACGCAGGAGATTATTCCAATTAATCAGAAAATTGAAGATTTATTCACAGCCCAAGCAAGGCAACAAACTAAAACGGTCACAGATAAACAGAAGCTGTTATTGCAGGTCACAGAATCTGAGAATCCTACAGAAAAATTACAGTAATTGCTGTCTGGATGCTCGAGGTCCTGAATACGTTTTGTACAAAATAATACTCGTTAGAACATAAAACAAACTTCCAGCATTTCAGCTTTGAAGTCACTGCTCAGTGTGCTGAAAGTCCATTATATCTTAAACTAAACACAAAGTGCTTTTGATGATTGCAGAAGCTCCAGGAAAGCAGACAAAGTATCAGTCAGCTATCAATTCCATAAAACATCCCGAGCAGATAATCACAGCTTCCAAGGCTGCCCCATGCCCACTGCCAATGCCGAGCCTCGGGAATTGCTTGTCATGTAATGGAAATAGATGTGTCCTTCATTGAAGACACAACCAGCTGGAAAAATCAAATTATCACAGGTTTGGCTCAAAACAAAGACAGGATCCTGCTGTTTTTCTGTTTTCTTTATACCTTCACTACCCAATATCTTTTCCATAAAAAACATTCAGGATATATGATGGTGGACTACAACACTGTCTGAGCCCCCAGTATTTCTACATCACCAAGCTCCACACAGCTGGTTCGGGAGTCTCATACGAGGGATGGGAGTTTCATCCCCCCTCTTTATCTATACACAGTATATCGGCCCATCATGGTTGGGTTAGGTTAAAGTTAGGCTGTAGATTCATTGCTGGGGCAAGCTGCGCAACAAGAAGTAATAATGACAATTGTATGTGGGGAACAATATCCTACATTCATCAAATGGTTCAAACAAACGGGGGGGGGGGGGTTAATCTGAAGAGAAACCTTTATGGTGTGAATGTAGTTATATAATATGTACTGAGAGACCTCTGTGAGGTGGGTAATCTAACATGTCAATTGCCCACTTTCAAAAAACGAGACATTAACCACAAGTGAGGCCTTCTACCAATCCCTCAGCCAGAAAACCATGAAGCTATAGGTTAGTGAGAAACCGCCTCCATATTCTTAAATCCAATAATGTCAGGTACAGAATCCACTGATTGAGAGCATCCAGAACATTCTCCACACCGAGGCAGACACACGGCAGCCAAGGAAAAGGGATTTATTTGGTGAATTCTAATTTCCAATTCTTCGTCCACACTGAAAGACCTATGACAATGTCCATGTACACAAATGTGTAAGGTAAGCTAACTTGCTTAATATGCATGGCGGGAACGATAACTTTATAAAAGATAAATAAAACACTACAAGACAAACAACACAAGACTCCATCTATTTCTCCAGCCATTTCCACCTGGAAACTGATTGCAAATGGCGGTTAAATTACTGTGTTTTTACCATGTGCAGAACAGCAGCAAAAACTTCCTTTCAAACCAAAGGAAGCACACAAAGGTATGAGCATATTATATTATACCATGAGTTGGATTAACGCAACAATTTACTAATTAAATGTAGCCAATATCGTTAAATATATCGACTTAATGGCAGTTTGGAGACCATCCACCGTTGTAAAGCACTGGACAATCAGGTGAAGAAAAATACTCAAAGACAAACTGGGTGGAAGAGAAAATAATGGAAGAGAAGTGATGGCCTCCAAAAAAGGTCCACAGGAACAGTGTCGGAAAGACTCCCAAACATAGGCAGTAGAAGCCATGGCCAATGCTACCCATTTAAGCCATCCCTGGACCAGCCGGTAAATGCTATGAAACTCTAGGACAGACTGGAACTACGCAGCTTAAAAATAAACTTTAAAAAATGGCCGTGGCATTGGCAGGAGACCTTACACTTTAAATGGCTAAACTGTGGTACTAAAAGAAATCTGTTACCGAAATGGATATAAAGATTTTGGAATCAGCTTCGGGATCATGCCAAGAATTTCACACTTTACACGTGGTGTTCCTGATTTATTATTTAAATTCTTTATTTTTCTTGTGCAAAGGAGAAAAACAATCTGCTTGTAGCACCACAACAGTGTTGACAAGCAATGCCTTTACTAACAGGAATAAACAATGTTATGGCATGAGACAGTCACACACATTTTTATAACCAACAAATATTGATTTATTAAATGGCGCCATGTAGCTGTTGGAAGCATCTTGACCCAAAAGCAATTAACATTCTTTTAACATCAGGGGTATATCCAAAAAAAGAAATCCAGCTTTAACAATGGCCGGTTATAGTGGAAAACAATCTTCATTTCCAAATAATTAAAGTAGTGTAAATTAGCAGTCTCCACCCTAAAATGTGGAATTTTCAGTAGCGTACCAAAAACAATTATTGTATGTATCTTAAGTTCTGTAGGGTAAGGAACTTCAAATGACTGTGGAATGGCCGGACAGCCAGTAGTTTTTTGGGGGGCTGCTTCTCCACCCTCCTTATATAGTAATTACATTTGTAAGATTAGGGGAGCAGCCATCTTGTTTTACTAGCACACTGCCCAGGTCACATGAACAAATCGTGATCATTTTATGTTACATATTCAGTATTATGATAATAGCAAACTCAGCCTCTTACAAGGTCTGAGAAGGAAGGGGACTGCTGTAGCCCATTTTGGGGTCAACGTTGTTCCTATACAAAAAAAACTTTTATAATCTGCATTTCCCCAATCCAGAAATAATGACACATATTTAAAGGTAATTTAATGCTGTTATAACAGCTGCTTACTATGCATCTCTGATTTATTTACAGGGTTAAAAATACAAAACGTATGAATTTGCCAAATTTGGGCTGGCCAGTGCCACGATACAGAACGATATTAATTACTGTCCTGTCAGGGAAGAAAATGGCAAAACTCAAAATTAATTTTTGAAATGCATTCTTGGAATCCATCAAGTATCCTTCACAAACATTGTTATCTATGAACAATCTGGGTAGATATAAGGCAGCTTTATTTTTAAGTTTTTATTAAGTTCTTATTACACATTTAAATAAAAATTGTGGTTAATAATAAAATGTTATTATCATTCATGAAAACACATCCCTATAGATCTCCCCCTTCTATCTCCTTTTAATGTGGTTTTTCCCCTCACGGACTAAATGTTCATGAACTACTCACGGACTCTGCCAAATGGAACGGAGTTGGAACGCAAACGTTATCGGGCATGGGACGAGTCATCAAAAAAAAGATACTGACAAGATCAGGCGACCTCGGGGGAACGTATAACTTCATCACGCAGGAGAGTGATGACGTCAGAAAAGGCAGAAGTACATCAGACTTCACTGAATACAGCTGAGAAGATTATAGAACCTATCAGAAAACAGCCAGAAACCAGGAAAAGGGTATATAAAGACTGGGGAAGGGAGAAGGGCTCCCTTTGCACTTTGTGTGAACAACACTGAACTGTCCCTGGGTGGGAAGAAATGTGTAGGGCCTATCTTACGGTGACATACTACATCTGCTAATATAGACCTTGATGTAAGTCAATAAATCTGCATTTTACACTTTAATTGGTTGATATTTCATTGGATTGCAATCCAATTCTTTCCTTATCTCGAGCTACATCAAGCTCCAAACTGTGAATAGACCTACATCCACTATACGGAAGGCTCTTTTATTCTTATTCTTTACAAATTGTGAGTGGCCATTTGGCAAAAATCTTCATTAAATTCGGTTACACAGTTTTACACTATGTTGTGCCATTTTCTTCCCTGACAGGACAATCCCTATTTTGTATACTTTGATATCTACTGAAGATTTTATTGAGGAAATCAATGAGTCCATCAATATTTCTATGATATTATTGCACTTGAATCACTAAAGCACTTTAATATAAGTGTGAAAGTCACTTCTTGTAATATATATATTCTAGTTTCACAATAGAACAGAACTGTGAGAACAATGAGGAGGATTGATGTAGAAGATTATGCAAAATATCTTCT